TTGGGGTTTATAGGGCAATTTTTATTTTTTTAATTTATATATATATTGTTTATTATTATTTTCGGATAGGTGTTTATAGGCTAATTTGGATAGGACAATAGTTAACAAAACGACGTCGTTTTACACTCAAAATCTGTCAAAACGACGTTTTATAATAACATTTGCATGCCTTGTTTTGCCGGAGCTGTGCTCGATTTACCATTGCATAGTCCTTCTGTTTGGGGTTTATAGGGCAATTTTTATTTTTTTAATTTATATATATATTGTTTATTATTATTTTCGGATAGGTGTTTATAGGCTAATTTGGATAGGACAATAGTTAAGCAGTGCTATTTGCATTCTCATTACACATGATACCATTCTTAATATCTATTAAATGACAAAATGTGGAATGCATATACAAAAATTGAAATGCGAAAATCACTGCCCTTAATAATTGTGTTCAACAGAACCATTCTTCTTAATTGGTTCTTCTAAAATAGTCTACTCCTGTGAAAGAACTAATCAAAAAAAGTTATGTAAAAGTGAGTAAACACAATCACACTCTTTAGATAAAGATGCATCCGATTTTGCATCGGATTTATAGGAGACGGTTTAAGCAAGTTGCAAAGCATAGTCGAAAACAAAACTACTTATTCAATTTTTATAATTTCTAAGTAACCAAACAATATTATATATATATATATATATGTGTGTGTGTGTGTATTATGTGGACAAATATGTTTCTTGAGACCAAGGATTAGCAATTTAGCATGATGGATGAGGTATTCTTTGTAGAGGAGTCAGAAATTAAACCCTAAACTAAGTATAGACCCAAGCACTAAGATCGCCCTGAGAAGACGACCAAGGATAAAAAAGGAGTGTGGGCCAAAGCCTAAAGGAAGTGGGCCAACAAGTAGGCCGAGGTAGGTCCGACTCACCAAGGCTCCAGATGGACTCAACGAGGAGAAATGCCTAAGTCAAGTTGCAGAGGCAACACATGCAGCGGTGAAATTGCCGAGGGGACATGTGCAGCGGCAGAGTTGCTAAGGCACTTTGTCTCAGCGCCGCCGTTCCAAGCATCTTTGGTGCCGCCGCCATTCCTAGTAATGTTGGTGTCACGATCATTTGGAGTTGCCGAGGGAAAGAGACGACCGAGGCAACCAAGTTGCTGAGGCAATATTTGTAACGCCCAAGTTGCAGAGGCATTCTGTCGGTGCCACCATCTCTAATATCTTCGGTTATGCCATCTGAACTTGCCACGGGAAATGACTACCGCAACAATTACTACCGCTGCAACTGAGTTGCAAAGGAAATATCCTGCCAAGGTGATAGTAGCCTTTGAGAGAGGCTTCCCTTCTGAGGCTAATGCCTGGCGCTGACAGCAGGCCATAAGGCATTAGCTGGCCCATGGCTGATAGCAGGCCCCATAGAACATTTAATTTGGCATTAATAGCAGGCCCCAAGACTTACTGGTAAGAGCTGATAGCAGGCCCAGAAATACCAGTTTACCGCGGTAACCCATAAGGGACTCCCTTTTCATTACCCAGGTCATGGACCTGCCTTGGTCGCACAGGCAGGACTAAGGAAGCCCCCTTGGGCTTGGTACTAAGGCACAGCATGGCTGATAGTAGACTTGGCTGTGGCCTTCGCCCTGGGAAGTTGGGGAGTTTGTGGTTAGGTGGCTAAGGGTGAAGGCTTCGCTCAGGTGAACATAAACATGGCCAATAGCAGGCTAATGGAGTCCTGAGAATACATGTGCTGGCCAAATAGAACTGAGAAGGCAAGTGCAGCTGCAAGTTTCACCATTGCAAGTGCACTTGCTGAGGTTCAAACTAAGAAGGCAAGTGCAGAGATAAACTCCTTGTTGAGGCCCAAAAGGGAGTTGCCGCGCCAAGCACTCCCGACGCAACTATACCTTCTAAGGTTCAAAAAGGTAACTGCGGAGGCAAATAGATAGTACACAGTACATGCAGAGGGATACGTGGCACCTTCAGCCTGGTGGCTCAAGGCAGAATATTCCGTGTGATCCTCGAGCGAGCACTCTGAATGAGTTCACGCTCGAGCGAGCACTCTGAATGCGTTCACTTTCGCTCGAGCGACATGATACCCACTCGAGCGTGAAATGCATGTATCCAGAAGTTCATATGTTTTGCAGCACGCTCGAGCGACGAAAGTCACGCTCAAGCGAAGGTCTGAGCCTCACGTTCGAGCAGGGATTGAGCGTCCGTCGAGCGTGAAAAGCAAGCAACCAGTACTTTTTTCGAGTTTACAGTCTGCTCGAGCGAGGGAAGTCACGCTCGAGCGAACCCTTACTTTTTGCATGTTCGCTCGAGTGAGGAAAGCCATGCTCGAGTGTGGATCCTGTTTTTAGCAAAATTTGAAAAATATTTTCAAGTGCATTGTTGCATCCTCATTCCATCCTAGGCATTCTTAGACCATGTTTAAGACACTATAATGAGGATAAAGGTTAGAAACACACTTAGGACAAGAACATGTGTTATGTGCAATTCGAGCGTGTGTTTTAATGTATGTCTCTGTCATGTTATGTAGGTCACGCGCCTCAGGATAAGTGAGTTGCCTACTCTACTTGTTTACTTGGAGCCATCTGTTAACTGTGAGTAATAACTCTGTAAAGCTATGTTTAATTACAAGTATTTTCTGATCGATATGATACGATCTATTTTCTGAAATGTTATTTTATGAATTATGAACGAATGTCCATTTTTCTGAAATATAATTGTGGCACCCTTAGTTCACGTGGCCCTTGCCCGGGGGTAACAATACCATGGCCAATATGCACGTGGCCCTTGCCTAGGGGTAACAACACTGTGGCTTATATTCAGGTGGCCCTTGCCTGGGGGTAACAGTACCGAGGCCTATATTCACGTGGCCCTTGCCCGGGGGTAACAATACCATGGCTACTTGTGCGCAAGATATGAACCTTTATGGTTGTCGGTACCGACTATGTATATGGGTCTCAGGACCAAGTTGATATGGTAGCTAATGGGTGTACCACGTATAATCTTATGCAAACTCTGAATATGAATATGAGTATGTATCTGAATCCAATTCTGATTTGCAATCTGAATATGCTTAAGACTTTGTTTCCGATAAGAATATGTTTTTGATATAAACTCTGAATTCTAACTCTGTGATGGACATCATTCATTAAAACTCTTTACCTAGCCATTATTCACTAGGCTCTAGCTCACTGTATTATTTGTATGTATGTAGGTGAGCAAGCATGTGACCAGGCCTGAGTTGCTGCCTGGCGAGTTTTGGTGTCAGCCAACTATCACGCCTCCCATCGAGGTTCCCTTTTAAGATCTACTCAAGTTTTTGTGTCCTTGGAACTTTTGTACTTTCTAAATGCTTATGTCTAGTCTGAACACGTTTGAAAGTTTTGTATAAGTGGCTTGGGTGGTATAAGGCTAATGTATTTTCAACGCCACGTCTGTATGTATATATGTATATAAAAAGTTTTAAATTTCCAGTCCCATGTATGTCTGCACAGCTCTATGGACTATGTATGTTTGTATATTTGCTTCTGCAGCCCCTGTTACATATTATTTTGTTCAGAGGCCTTTGGTAATCCAAGGATTACTGGCCGGTTACGATACTAAACCCATAGGGGCGGGTTTGGGTCGTGACACTTCTAAACCAGCTCCAGTGCAAGCATCTCCACCTGTCGCAGTCCCAAACCCAGCGCCTAACTTGTTCCTTGAGGTTTGGGCTTCGATCCAGGTGCCTCTGGTGGTACCTCAGACGAACGGTACAGCCGCCGATTCAGCTACCCAGGAGCAGACTAGACCATTCCAACCCACTCACTTTGTTACTCTAGTCGATGTACAAGCTATGCTTGAGCAAGAGCGTAGCAAGAAACAACTGCCATCTCTCTTAGACCCAGATGTGAAACCCCCATACTCTCAAGAGATATTGACCATACCCTACCCAACTGGGTATACAGTGCCCAAGTTTATTAAGTTTGATGGAAAACAAGGCAATGCCAGAGAACACGTGGTTAGGTTCATTGAAACTCTTGGTGTCCATGGCAGTGACCACTCTCTACGCCTTCGGGAGTTCTCCAAATCGCGCTTATAGTTGGTATGTGAACTTGGCTCCCAACTCGATCAAGAGTTGGGAGGAGATGGTGAACAAGTTCCACACGGAGTTCTTCCAAGTCCAGGAGAAAGTTACAACCCTCACACTTGGGCGAGATGTCAAAAAAGAAAGCGAAGATATATTGGACTATGTTAAGCAGTTCCAAGACAAGGAGATTGACTGTCATGAACCAGTGAGGGTGCCATACGCAACTACAATATTTTTTTGGTGAACCATAATCTGCCTACCTTTTCAGCCTTGATTGAGGTAGCTAGAAATCTCAGTACCACTGGTCCGTTACATAGATCTCGTGACAGCCACCGCTACACTCGCAGTAGTAGAGTTTCTGCTGTAACCTCCACAGAATGGAGCCACTTGCAAGCAGAGGCTTCGTCCTCTCGAAAGAGAAAGAGTTATGAAGACATGAATCCATATCCTTGCAGCTTGAATGTTAAGGCCTTGGTTAAAGAATGGGTCGCTGATGGTGAACTTACTTTACCTCCAGTCGATGTTACTCCAACCAAGAAGGACGAAGAAAGCCCAGATTACTGTGTCTATCACAGAACCACCAGACACCCTACCAGGGACTGTTGGACGTTAAAAAATATCTTCAAAAAGAAAGTTGATATGAATGAGCTAAAGTTCAAAGATGCCGGTAATCGTGATGTACGAAAGGAACCTTATCCCACAAAGAAAAGGGGAAGAATGCACACCTGATCAGCTACCTTGGGCCTGTGCATGATCAAGTGGACATGGCGTCCTACTATGATGAGTTAGAAGAAATTGTAACTGGCCAGCTCCCTGAAACAGCACTTGCAAAGGCGAAATTCGCAGAGGATACTCATGCTTAAGCCTTGCAAAATTCTGTTAAGTTTCACACATTCTTTGACCAATTGGGGCTGAGCCAAGCTGCTATGATGGAAGCAACAAAGGCTCTTATCTGCATCTCTGAAGTGCACCATGCTGAAGTTGTTGAGGCCAAGGAATATGTGTCTCGGCGCATCCAGGAAGATTATGGGGCCATTACCTTTTCAGAGGTAGACAGAGCATACCCATTTCCCCATAACCGTCCTCTTTTTGTCACAACTTATATCAATGATGTGGAGTTCAAGCATGCTTTCCTTGATGGTGGGGGCGTCCATAAGCATTATTACTGCTGACACCTTCACAAAGGCTAGCATCCCAGAGTCCAGAATGGTTCGCCAACCCATTATTGTAATCGGTTTTGGTGGTGAGAAAAAGGTCACTAAGGGCCATGTTGTAGTGGACTTAGCAGTTGGTGAGATTTGTTCCGCGACTAAATTCCATGTGATTGAAGCATATACGAATTACCACATGATACTTGGCAAAGCTTGGATGCACCAATATGGGGCTATCCCGTCTAACTATCACCAATGTGTGAAGGCAAAATTAGGAAAACGCACAGTTACCATAAATACGTCTGAAAAACCATTCGGAGTGGAAGAGGCACACTTCGGATGCAGTTTTTGTTTACTGAGTTGTCAACAGATGAAACTCCAAGGACTGGTAAAATTACCGAAATGGGAAAACATCCGAGATGCAGAGGTTAGGAATGGCAATGGGGCGGGGCGGGGCCGGGGATCGCACTCCCCGTCCCCGATCCCCGATTTGGAAAATCTCCCCGGCCCCGGCCCCGATCCCCGACGGGGAACCTACCGCCATCCCCATCCCCGGCCCCAACGGGGATCGGGTTTCCCTGACCCCGAAGATTCCCCGCCCTCCATCTGTTTCAACAACAACACAATCAACAATAACATCATTCATCATCATCCCCTATCAACAACATCCCAGATTCATCAACAGATCATAAAAAAAAATAAAAAAAAAATACAAACAGATCTGAGATCTGTCACAGAGAGAGAGAGAGAGAGAGAGAGAGTGGACTATCGACGGAAATGGACAACGGAGGAGGCGATGGTGGACGAAGGAGGACGGTCGGCGTCGCCGACAGTGGCGATGGACGACGGAGGACGATCGGAGATTCGCAGGCGATGGGTGGCTGTGAGTGTGACGACGGAGGAAGACGATCAAAAGAGGAGAACGAGGAGGAGGAGGCGACGGTGGAGGATCGACTTTCTCTCCCTCCCTCGGGCGGCGGAGGACCCTCCCTCCTTCTCTCTATTTTTCTTACGCCAACAGCCTCCTTCCCTCTCTATCAATTTTTCTGCCAACAGGAGCAAAGTGACTGTGAGCAACATAAAGACACACATATATTATATATATATACAGAGGCTGAATTGTAATTTTATTTCGGGGAGAATCGGGGCGGGGGGTCGGGGCGGGGATCGGGGCCGGGGACGGGCCTGGGAAACGTATCCCCGTCCCCGGCCCGAAAGTCATCGGGGATTCATTTTTAAATACCATCCCCGGCCCGTCGGGGGTATTTTTCGGGGAAAAACCGCTCAAATCGGGGTCGGGATCGGGGATCCCCGTCGGGCTGGTTTTAAATTGCCATCCCTAGCAGAGGTTGCTCCAAAAAGCAGTGGACAGAAAAGGAGCAGCAAATCCACAAGTCCTCCGCCCAAGATTGTCAAGGTGCGCGAGGACGGCAAGACAGTTTACTACCTATGACGGTCTTGGGGGCCAGACTTCATACCTTGGGAGGACGGCCCCGAGACAAATAAATGTGATGGTGATGAGTCCCGAGAGGGGTTGGTGGAAACGCTTGAGCCCGCCCCTGAATGCATGCAAGATAGGCCTAAACCCCAGCAGGAGGAACTTGTTGAGGTCAACCTTAGTGACTCACTTGGGCAGAGTAAGCCGGTGTTTGTCAGTAATACAATGGCTCCAGCAGCTAAGGCAGAATTGATAACACTACTAAAGCAATACAATGATGTCTTTACTTAGACATATGACAAGATGCCTGGTCTTGACCTATCCCTCGTCACTCATCATCTGGACACTTTTCCCAACTCTAAATCGATCAAGCAGCACGCTCGAAAGTATCACCCTGATCTTGAAGCAAAGATTAAAGCAGAGGTAGAAACGTTGCAGAGGGCCAAGTTCATTGAGCCTATACAATATCCAACTTGGCTAGCAAATATTGTTCATGTGTAGAAGAAGAATGGTCAGATCAGGGTCTGCGTAGACTTTCGTGACCTGAATAAGGCTTGCCTGAAAGATGAGTTTCCATTACCCCATGTCAATACACTTGTTGATTCAATTGCGGGACATCAGATGTTCTCTTTCATGGATGGGTTCAGTGGTTATAACTAGATCAAAATGGCACCAGAAGATGCATAAAAGATAGCCTTTAGAACGCCCTTGGGAAATTTTTTCTATACGGTGATGCCCTTCGATTTGAAAAACTTGGGGGCAACCTACCAATGGGCAATGACTGTAGTGTTCCATGACATGTTGCACCACGAAGTGGAAGTATATATGGATGATCTCGTGGTCAAGTTTACTAAGGAAAATCGCCACCTTTGCGACTTGGAAAAGGTTTTTCAGCGCTACTGCAAATTCTGCCTCAAGATGAACCCTCTCAAGTGTGTCTTTGGAGTTATCGTTGACAAGTTCCTTCGCTTCCTTGTACACCAGCGAGGGATTGAAGTAGATGGGGACAAGATCAAGTCAATCATGGAGATACCTCCACCACATTCTCAAAATGCTTTGAAGAAATTCCTAGGCATAGTGTCATACCTCAAGAGGTTTATTCCAGCTCTTGCTGAGATAACCTTCCCCTTTGGGACACTGCTGAAAGGAAATCACAAGTTTGAATGGTTGTAAGAACACCAACAGGTATTTGATATTGTGAAACAAGCACTTACCTCCCCACTTACAATGATTGCCCCACAGCCTGAAAAGCCTTTGCTACTGTACTTGACCTCTACTCCGTGGTCTATTGGAGCCCTACTTGTCCAAGACATAGATGGCATTGAGAAGCCAGTTTATTACATTAGTCACAAAGTCAATGGTGCCAAGTTGCGATATACCCCAATTGAGAGGCATTGCTTAGCCTTAATCTTCATAGCGCAGAAGTTACGCCATTACTTTTTGGCACAGCCGATCCAGGTTGTGACCCGGAGTGATCCCGTTCGCTACTTGCTGAGCAAGCCCACTCTAACTGGGAGAATGACAAGATGGCTCTTGGCTCTAGCAGAATATAATATCACTTATGTTATTCCCAAGGCTATTAAGAGCCAAGCACTTGCAGACTTACTAGCCTAGTTCCCATCCGGCGAACATGAACCTGCAGAGGTATCCCTACCAGGTGAGGTCCATGTCTCAGTAGCTGCAGTTGAGACTTATTGGGACTTAAAATTTGATGGAGCCTCTGGAGCTGGGAAAGGTGGAGCTGGCATTACACTAACTAGTCAAGAAGGAGAGAAGTTCCATCTATCATATAAGCTTGACTTTGAATGTTCAAACAACGAGGCTGAATATGAAGCGTTGATACTGGGTCTGATAGCTGCCCAAAAGAAGGGCCTTCGCAAGTTAAAAATCTGGGACGATTCCAAGCTAGTCGTTAAGCAAATGATGGGTGATTTCGCCTTGAAGGAGCCCCTGTTGGCCCCATATTGCACTATAGTTCAAAGGTTGCTCACTCAGTTTGATGATGTCCAGATCCAGCATACCCCTCGAGCACATAACCGTTTTTCCAATGCCTTGGCTACACTGGGGGCAAAGGTGGAGCTACCAGATGATAGTATAGCCATCGTCATCGAGAAAATGACAGCACCAGCGGTGCTAACTGAAGAACATGCAGATGAAGATGCTGAGGGATGGAAAACAGATATAATCCAGCAGCTGAAAACTAGCCAAGAGGCAATCAAACCAGCAGAACTTGAATCATTTTTGCTCCTCAGAGGAGAGTTGTATTTTTGCAGTCCCAACAACTTGCTGGCAAGGTGAGTCGGTAGGCAAGAAGCAACTGACAAACTTAAGGAGATCCATGCTAAGTCTTGTGGAGACGGAGACATCAGTCTATATCGACGGATACAGGCAAGGATACTACTGGCCAAAGATGGAAAAAGAGAGTACTGAATTGCAAAGGCAATGCACGAAGTGCCAGTCCCACCCTAAGGAAGAAGAAGCTCATTTCTTAAGCAATGCAGAATGGAGGTAGCCATATATTGACTATCTGAGAAATGCCACACTACCTGAGAATAAAGTTGATGCAATCAGAGTCAAGAGGCGAGCCTTCCGCTTCTTCCTTGACCAGGGCAAGTTGTATTGAAGAAGCTTCAAGGGGGAACCTTTAGCGTGCTTATCAAAAGATGAGGAAAACAAGGTGCTGAGGGAAGCACACAAGGTAGAGTATCAAGGAGGGCAGCGGTTATATGGACATCTCATTCACCTCGGTTACTACTGGCCAACAATGGAAGAAGATGCTAAAAACCTTGTGAGGAGATGCCAGTCCTGTCAGAGTTTGGGAATTTGATACATGCACCGGTAGTTGAACTGCCCAACATCAAGACTGCTTATCCGTTCCATACTTGGGCATTTAACTTGGTAGGTTCGATAGCTCAGCAGTCCAAAGGATATAGATGGATACGTGCAGCAACCGAAGTTAGCACTAAGTGGGTAGAGGCTATACCAATGAGGAAGGCAGATGGGGCAGGAGTAGCCAACTTCATCAGAGAGAACATAATCTGCAGGTTTGGCATACCCAAAGTGATGCTGTCTGACAATGGAACTTCTTTTGTAAATCGCCATGTGGGAAGACTGCTGGATGTCTACCAAATTAAGCATCACAAGTCTAGTCCATACTATCCCTAAGGGAATGGACAATCTGAGGCGACCAACAAAACCCTCATTCGAATACTGAGTAAGATGATGGATGAAGAGGGGGCACATGGTCTAAATAACTCCCCGTAGCACTCTGGGTGTATAGAACGTCAAAGAGGAAGCCAACTCAGGCAACCCCATTTTTCCTAGTATATGGGTCCGAAGCTGTGTTACCAATTGAGTTGGCAGTACCCTCAGCAAGAATGGCTATGTCAGCACACTTAGCTCCAGACAGCAGGAAGAATGACATAGAGGCAGCTGAAGAAAGAAGAGATCGGGCCTCACGGGCAATGGAAAAGTATTATCAATCCATAGCCCGTGCCTACAATCAATCTGTTCAACACAGAAAGTTCAAGGATGGAGACTTAGTATGGAAAATAGTGGATGCAATCATGCGGGGGCAACAAATCCCCAAGTTCTCGCCCAGGTGGGAAGGCCCCTACAAAGTCGCTAAGGCAAGCAGCAGTGGGTACTACAAGTTGACAAGGGTAGATGATAGGTTCAGAACTGGCCCTATTGATGCCAAGTATGTCAAAGAATATTTTCCTTAATTTCTTTTGTCCAGAAAAAGAGTTGTAAGTTTCTTTGTCAATATTTTATAAAGAGAGTGTCATACACTTAGTAAACTTGTTACTCCTGTAAACACTTAGTATAGGGAAATCTTTCCATACTTAGTGAAATTCCGTCCATGTAAAAGCTTAGTCATGATGAAATTTTGCTCACTGTAAGAGCTTTGCTTATCTTTAGAAGCTATGCAAAAGCAATGTAAAGGAAGCAATGAAATGAAACTCAAAAGTACTACCAAGCATCCATGCTTTTCATTAAAGTCAAGCTTCCAGAACATGATTACAGTGTTTGAAAAAGAAGTTATGAAAGAGAGAAAGAAAAGAAAAGGCGCACCAAGTGTGATGCAACAACAAAATAAAGAAAACGGAAGAAATCATAACAAAGTCACAAAGTTACATCAAATCAAACCCTTAAAGAGGGAGTCCACCAAAGTTACATCTTGAGGCAATTGGGCAGCCAATGCAAAGTCCTTCTCTTTGAACCGAGCCAGGTTTTGCCAATGTTGCTCTAGGACACCCTCACACTCCTTAATAGTCTTCTCCAGGGACGCGATAATCTCCACATTGTCGGCGTGCTCGAGGAAGCCGTCAACCATTTGAAGCCTGGCCCTCATCCATGATAGGTTAAAACCACTCCTCTCAAATCCGCTCAGATTAGCCTCGGCACTCTCCACGAACTTGCTGGGAGTGGTTAGGAACTACTTTGTAGCAAGATCACGAATAAAGCCAGCAAGTGACTCCAGTAGTGCTGTCTAAACTATTGACCTAGGGACATTAAAGGTGGTAAAGGTGTCCAGATGCAGTGTTTGGATACAAGAAAGGATTGGAACAACTTTGGAGGAAACCCAGTAACTTAGGAAGGATACTTTCTCTGAGGGCCAAGGGGACTCTCTCACACCATCGCCAGCTTCAATCACTAGAGGGAGACTGGTGGAGTGACTAAAGGTTTGAGGGCGGCGTACTTCCCTTGAAGATAACTGCCTGCGGCAACGGAGTGAGTAGACGCTGGTTGGCGACCGGGCGAACTAGCCTCACGAGAAAGGCCAAAACTGCCTCCACCGTTACGTCTCTCCAAAAAGAGGTTGTCCATCTGATAATCTCCAACATTCAGATCTGGAACCACAGTGGTATCCATCTTAGTATCACGAGACATCCCAAGGCCAGCTGGCACCTTTGGAAAATGAGTGGGGTACAAGTCTGCCAACTGTTCAGAGGTCGCCGAAGCAATTAGATCAGAGGCCCCAGCAGTAGTAGTAACAATGTGGGCAGCTAAAGTGACAATTACCTTTGCAAGTCTATCCAAGTTCAGAGGGGTCACAGTAGGGACGGTAGTAGTAGCCGCTGTACTTGCACTCTCTTCAGCCGCTTGAATGTCTGGAAGTGGAGAGCGTCTATATCACCCGTTGCAACTTCCACAACAGGGGAAACTTGCACATTGTCTGCGGCCTCCATAACTGGCTCTTCCTCGGCCTCAGTGGTCGGATCGCCTCCCACAATTGGTTCCTCTTCAACGTCTGGAAGAACTGTCCTGCGAGTCTTGAAACTTGTCAAGTAGCAATGGGGAGGTTGTCATTGTCGTCTGAGTCTGAAGGAATGCCAATGGCAGTAGAAGAACCCCTTGGACCGGAGGGCGGTATGCTCTGTGGTCCCTAAAAGGAAGAAGAAGATCATGCGGTTATTATAGTAAACATGATAACTACACCGAAATAACGCGAAATACTTGTCTAAGTATGGATACCTTTCGGAGCCTCTTCCTGCTAGGTGAGGCATGTGCCTCGGGAACCAATGCCGCTGCTGCTTGGGTTGCCTTCAGCCTAGAATGGGTCATGCGTACTGGTGCACCCACTTCGGGGGGAGCAATCTGTACGGGTTGAACAAACATTGCCCCAGACGGGTGAGGCTCCTCTACAACGGGCAGGG